ATCGAAACGAACTGGCAAATCGCACTGGGGGATTAGTTGGACTGCTTGCAGAGTGAAACCCTTTTTTGGCGGACACGTAGCAATGACAAATAGCGCTGAGCGACAGATTAAAATATTCGCCAAAAAATTAATAGGTGAAATAAGATAAAACCGGTGCTGAATGAGTGACAGATGAAAAAATAAATAAAACCACGCTTCATTGCTTAAATGCTGATAAATGTCACTTTGCGAATGTCACTGCTCCGAACAATTCTCATTTATTATAACCGGATAAAGTTTCCTCCACTTCCTCAAGTTCTTCGTACGCGTCAAATAAAGGCAATACATATAAACCGATTTGGGGATAATATAGCAAACAATGTGCTTCAGCTGAGAGCAAGTGAAAAATTTCCGGAGAGTTTTTAGCTATGAGCAATTCCAGAAAAAATTTCAAAAATTCTTTCAAAAAAAAAAGCTTTAAATAAATTTTTATTTCAAACAATCAACAAGCAGAAGCATGCAGTTCAGGATCGAGGAGTTTTGCACGACTGTTCCCGGCATTCAAACGCAACGCTGACATGGGATACACTGATTGTACGAGCAACCACGAAATTCCTATCAAAAATTTCCTCCAGTCATTTATAATAAATCAGATCGAATGTACAGTTAATAATGTGTAAATCCAATGCTTTTTGTGTTATCGGGATGTTCTCAGAGCCCGTGCGCACACCCTACCTGTTACCATTCTCGATCTATACAAAAACTTTAAGAGCGAATAAAATTTCGAATTACATTTTTAGCTGTTTTATATAAATACAAATTTAATATGTTCCCACTCTCCACCCCTCCCTCTTATTCCCCTTTTAGGCAAAGAGAGAACCAAATAAAGAAGTGCGAAACAGATCCAGAGGCTAGAAAACCCGATTAGCTCACCCTGGGAAATTCCCAGGGCATTAGTATTTTTTTTAATGAGAACGCACTTGATAGTATTTCGACCGACATTTCTCACCATAATTATCCTTTGTTTCACGGATTTTTGGAAGAAAATAAGCGTTTGTTAAAACGTACTTCTCTAAACAGTTGCCACACCTTCGCGTTTAGCATAATTTATTGCCTGCCTGTCATCCGGGGTCCACTCATCACTCTTCCATGCTATTCAGTTTTCACTCAGTTGGTTTTTTCCGGAAATTATTTTTTTTTTGTTTGGCTTTTAAAATGAACGATAACTAAATACAGTTGAATGCACTTTTATTTCAGTGTTTAAAAAATATGGTTTCTTAAAATGTTTTTTCGCTGTTTAACTAATTTTTCCAATAAAATTTTTCTGAAAAAAATGCGTAGCAAAATGTAAACACTCACTTAAGTAACGGAAAAGTGAAAAGCACTTTTTCATGAACGTTTTTCATCATCGCTTACCACGATTTCCTGAATTTTCATGGACTGAAAATTCTGCAGGAATTTGTTTTTGGGGGCTTTTTAGCTGAATTTAGTAAAATCGAGCAACAAATTTAGTTAATTTGCAAGAATTTTCAGGATCCTGGTTGGTGCACCAAAAGCTGAATCAGGGCAACCGGGAACTGCGCAAGCAGGCGCTGTTTTTTCATGTCCAATTACAGCACGATATACTAACAGGTATGTCTGAGTTTAGAAATTTCAGAATTTTCCAGAAATATGCATAATCTTTATGCCACTGCAGCTAATACAATGGGATTAAAAAAGTAGGCTGTTAAATGCACCTATCCCGGTCCCTTTCCCCTGCCTTGAACGAAACCCGCAGCACATCTCTTATCTACCACATTCGAAATTCTGTCACTCGCAGTAGGGTAATCCTACCCTACCTGCGATAATAAATTCTAATTTCGCTAATTCGACTTCTAATTAGTGCTGTTCACTTGTCCTTGAACCGACTGATGATCTGCCGGGGCACTGCCTATCCGAATGTCAGTTCTTGTCCTTGATGCATGTCCATCAATTCCAGTTACACCTTAATTAAGCAGCTCATTTGCAGTAGTGGTATCACGGATTGGTGTCAGCAGGAGAATGTTGAATATGCGACAATCGACGAGATGCGCAAGCCGGTGGGCAGTGCTCATGGCCGTCAGTTGCATTTCCAGGGCAAAAATCGCCAGCTCTTGGGATCGGTGGTTGCCAGCGCCGGGATACCAAACGGAATGGCAATGGTGAGTTGGCTTATTTTAATGTTTTTTTCTGCAAAAATACTTATTCATTTAATTACTCGCTTACATAATACTTATTTAATTACTTATTTAAATAACTGCTCATCTGCTTTACTTATTTCCCGCTTAGCTTGCCCCCTCGCCTATTTAGTCAGTTGCTGCTACTTGTTTAGTTACTAGTTAGTTACTTGCCTACAAAATCACTTATTCGCTTTTCTACATCTTTGCTTCCTTATACATTTACTTAGCTATTTATTTTAACGAGTTTTTGTAGCATCGTCGCATTTCTTCGCGCTGCCGGTGCAACGTCAACTTCTTCGTTCTTCTCTTTTTTGAGCCTTTCTCGCCCATATAAGCTAAAATGGCTTCCCAAGCAAATCTTTCTGATGGTGATTTTCTGTCTGTGTTTTATTAACTTTATGTGCGCAAAAAAGATGTATTTGATAGAGGTGTAATGGCATCACCAAGATTTTCGAAACTTATATAATTCACTGAAAATTCAGAAAAAAAA